GTTTTCCTGGAAAATGAAGAAATCCCTTTCAAAGTCAAATAAAATTAATCAGCATGTTTCTTTAATTTTTTTACCTTTAAACAACACGTATCATCTTCAAAGAAACCTACCAATTGAACCTAAATTGCAATAGAATCAGAATAATCAATTTTTTTCCATTTTTTTAGATAGAATGTTTTCCTGGAAAATGAAGAAATCCCTTTCAAAGTCAAACAAAATTAATCAGCATGTTTCTATTATTTTTTTAACCTTAAAACAACACGTATTACCTTCAAAAAAACCTACCAATTGAACCTAAATTGCAATAGAATCAGAATAATCAATTTTTTTCCATTTTTTTAGATAGAATGTTTTCCTGGAAAATGAAAAAATCCCTTTCAAAGTCAAACAAAATAATTCATTATGTTTCTATTATTTTTTTACCTCAAAATATCACGTATTACCTTCAAAAAGACCAATTGAACCTAAATTGCAAGAGAATAAGAACAATCAATTTTATTCCATTTTTTTAGATAGAATGTTTTCCTGGAAAATGAAGAAATCCCTTTCAAAGTTAAACAAAATTAATCATTATGTTTCTATTATTTTTTTACCTTAAAACAACACGTATTACCTTCAAAAAAACCTACCAATTGAACCTAAATTGCAAGAGAATAAGAACAATCAATTTTATTCCATTTTTTTAGATAGAATGTTTTCCTGGAAAATGAATAAATCCCTTTCAAAGTCAAACAAAATAATTCATTATGTTTCTATTATTTTTTTACCTCAAAATATCACGTATTACCTTCAAAAAGACCAATTGAACCTAAATTGCAAGAGAATAAGAACAATCAATTTTATTCCATTTTTTTAGATAGAATGTTTTCCTGGAAAATGAAGAAATCCCTTTCAAAGTTAAACAAAATTAATCATTATGTTTCTATTATTTTTTTACCTTAAAACAACACGTATTACCTTCAAAAAAACCTACCAATTGAACCTAAATTGCAAGAGAATAAGAACAATCAATTTTATTCCATTTTTTTAGATAGAATGTTTTCCTGGAAAATGAAGAAATCCCTTTCAAAGTTAAACAAAATTAATCATTATGTTTCTATTATTTTTTTACCTTAAAACAACACGTATTACCTTCAAAAAAACCTACCAATTGAACCTAAATTGCAATAGAATCAGAATAATCAATTTTTTTCCATTTTTTTAGATAGAATGTTTTCCTGGAAAATGAAAAAATCCCTTTCAAAGTCAAACAAAATAATTCATTATGTTTCTATTATTTTTTTACCTCAAAATATCACGTATTACCTTCAAAAAGACCAATTGAACCTAAATTGCAAGAGAATAAGAACAATCAATTTTATTCCATTTTTTTAGATAGAATGTTTTCCTGGAAAATGAAGAAATCCCTTTCAAAGTCAAACAAAATTAATCAGCATGTTTCTATTATTTTTTTAACCTTAAAACAACACGTATTACCTTCAAAAAAACCTACCAATTGAACCTAAATTGCAATAGAATCAGAATAATCAATTTTTTTCGATTTTTTTAGATAGAATGTTTTCCTGGAAAATGAAAAAATCCCTTTCAAAGTCAAACAAAATAATTCATTATGTTTCTATTATTTTTTTACCTCAAAATATCACGTATTACCTTCAAAAAGACCAATTGAACCTAAATTGCAAGAGAATAAGAACAATCAATTTTATTCCATTTTTTTAAATAGAATGTTTTCCTGGAAAATGAAGAAATCCCTTTCAAAGTTAAACAAAATTAATCATTATGTTTCTATTATTATTTTACCTTAAAACAACACGTATTACCTTCAAAAAAACCTACCAATTGAACCTAAATTGCAAGAGAATAAGAACAATCAATTTTATTCCATTTTTTTAGATAGAATGTTTTCCTGGAAAATGAAGAAATCCCTTTCAAAGTCAAATAAAATTAATCAGCATGTTTCTTTAATTTTTTTACCTTTAAACAACACGTATCATCTTCAAAGAAACCTACCAATTGAACCTAAATTGCAATAGAATCAGAATAATCAATTTTTTTCCATTTTTTTAGATAGAATGTTTTCCTGGAAAATGAAGAAATCCCTTTCAAAGTCAAACAAAATTAATCAGCATGTTTCTATTATTTTTTTAACCTTAAAACAACACGTATTACCTTCAAAAAAACCTACCAATTGAACCTAAATTGCAATAGAATCAGAATAATCAATTTTTTTCGATTTTTTTAGATAGAATGTTTTCCTGGAAAATGAAAAAATCCCTTTCAAAGTCAAACAAAATAATTCATTATGTTTCTATTATTTTTTTACCTCAAAATATCACGTATTACCTTCAAAAAGACCAATTGAACCTAAATTGCAAGAGAATAAGAACAATCAATTTTATTCCATTTTTTTAGATAGAATGTTTTCCTGGAAAATGAAGAAATCCCTTTCAAAGTCAAATAAAATTAATCAGCATGTTTCTTTAATTTTTTTACCTTTAAACAACACGTATCATCTTCAAAGAAACCTACCAATTGAACCTAAATTGCAATAGAATCAGAATAATCAATTTTTTTCCATTTTTTTAGATAGAATGTTTTCCTGGAAAATGAAGAAATCCCTTTCAAAGTCAAACAAAATTAATCAGCATGTTTCTATTATTTTTTTAACCTTAAAACAACACGTATTACCTTCAAAAAAACCTACCAATTGAACCTAAATTGCAATAGAATCAGAATAATCAATTTTTTTCCATTTTTTTAGATAGAATGTTTTCCTGGAAAATGAAAAAATCCCTTTCAAAGTCAAACAAAATAATTCATTATGTTTCTATTATTTTTTTACCTCAAAATATCACGTATTACCTTCAAAAAGACCAATTGAACCTAAATTGCAAGAGAATAAGAACAATCAATTTTATTCCATTTTTTTAGATAGAATGTTTTCCTGGAAAATGAAGAAATCCCTTTCAAAGTTAAACAAAATTAATCATTATGTTTCTATTATTTTTTTACCTTAAAACAACACGTATTACCTTCAAAAAAACCTACCAATTGAACCTAAATTGCAAGAGAATAAGAACAATCAATTTTATTCCATTTTTTTAGATAGAATGTTTTCCTGGAAAATGAAGAAATCCCTTTCAAAGTTAAACAAAATTAATCATTATGTTTCTATTATTTTTTTACCTTAAAACAACACGTATTACCTTCAAAAAAACCTACCAATTGAACCTAAATTGCAATAGAATCAGAATAATCAATTTTTTTCCATTTTTTTAGATAGAATGTTTTCCTGGAAAATGAAAAAATCCCTTTCAAAGTCAAACAAAATAATTCATTATGTTTCTATTATTTTTTTACCTCAAAATATCACGTATTACCTTCAAAAAGACCAATTGAACCTAAATTGCAAGAGAATAAGAACAATCAATTTTATTCCATTTTTTTAGATAGAATGTTTTCCTGGAAAATGAAGAAATCCCTTTCAAAGTCAAACAAAATTAATCAGCATGTTTCTATTATTTTTTTAACCTTAAAACAACACGTATTACCTTCAAAAAAACCTACCAATTGAACCTAAATTGCAATAGAATCAGAATAATCAATTTTTTTCTATTTTTTTAGATAGAATGTTTTCCTGGAAAATGAAGAAATCCCTTTCAAAGTCAAACAAAATTAATCAGCATGTTTCTATTATTTTTTTAACCTTAAAACAACACGTATTACCTTCAAAAAAACCTACCAATTGAACCTAAATTGCAATAGAATCAGAATAATCAATTTTTTTCCATTTTTTTAGATAGAATGTTTTCCTGGAAAATGAAAAAATCCCTTTCAAAGTCAAACAAAATAATTCATTATGTTTCTATTATTTTTTTACCTCAAAATATCACGTATTACCTTCAAAAAGACCAATTGAACCTAAATTGCAAGAGAATAAGAACAATCAATTTTATTCCATTTTTTTAGATAGAATGTTTTCCTGGAAAATGAAGAAATCCCTTTCAAAGTTAAACAAAATTAATCATTATGTTTCTATTATTTTTTTACCTTAAAACAACACGTATTACCTTCAAAAAAACCTACCAATTGAACCTAAATTGCAAGAGAATAAGAACAATCAATTTTATTCCATTTTTTTAGATAGAATGTTTTCCTGGAAAATGAAGAAATCCCTTTCAAAGTCAAATAAAATTAATCAGCATGTTTCTTTAATTTTTTTACCTTTAAACAACACGTATCATCTTCAAAGAAACCTACCAATTGAACCTAAATTGCAATAGAATCAGAATAATCAATTTTTTTCCATTTTTTTAGATAGAATGTTTTCCTGGAAAATGAAAAAATCTAGACCTGTGCAAAATAAATCGAACCGAACTGTTAGAATTTTTACGCCGAGTTCGAATGTCGAAATTCAACATTCGAGTCAGCCCAGTGCGAATTACAAAAATTCGACATCCGAGTCAGTCCAGTTCGAATGTTGAAAGTTCGAAATTCGAGTCAGGGTCATTAAAAACCGAACAAAATTTGATTCGATTCGAACATTGCACAACTCTAATTTAGATATTTTTATGAAAAAATTTCATCTAAATTTAAAATCGTATGGAAAAAAAGAGAACCAAAAATATTCAGTGGGAACAGTAATGTATAAGCTGTAATAAATAATTCGCGTATATGTCACGAATTGGGAGAATAGGTCATATTCTTTTTGGGCGCTTTTAGCAAATGAGTTTTCAATGATCCAGGTCGTTGGATTGTAGCCAATTGAGAAGGAGAAAAACCTTCGTGTCTCAGGACCAGACGCTGTTTAATTACTTGCCATCTGCTCATGTAATTACTTACCTTTAGGTCCCTTTTCTTCCGGCTAGAGAAATCACAAGGATGACAAATTTCTTTAGACATTCTGCTCTCTCTTTGTTTTTTTTTTATTTAATTTTTTACTATTTTGTGTAACTTATCTCACAATTGAATTAAAATGTGATTAACGTGCTTTTTTTCAGTGCCGATGGCTTTAAAGTAGGTTGTGATTGGGCACGAGCAACTTTTAGTCCTGATGGTCAATATATTGCTGTTGGCTCCTCCGATGGTTCAGTTTACGTCTGGTCTGTTGCTACAAGTAAAATTGAAACTGTGCTCAAAGATCATTCGTAAGTATCAAAAATTTTTACTATCCGCTTCAATCTGCTTTTTCAGTAAATATATTTTTTTTTTGTATTCAATGATTCACTCTGATGTCTTAGAAAAAAAATTATTTTATAGAAAATTATACTTTCTATTTTAATAAAATACAGTGCACAGTGGCCGATTTCTCGAAAAACCTGGCCAAAAATCGAAAAATGATATGATTTCAACCAAAATTGGTATACCCATGTTTTTTGGGCTTCTGAATTCAAATTTTACATTGGTTGTGTCAAATTCAAAATGGCGGATCCAAAATGGCCGTTTAGATTTTAAAAAACTTTGCTGAAAATCGAAAAATGATACGATTTCAACCAAAATTGGTATAACCATGTTTTTAGGGCTTCTGAATTCAAATTTTACATTGGTTGTGTCAAATTCAAAATGGCGGATCCAAAATGGCCGTTTAGATTTTAAAAAACTTTGCTGAAAATCGAAAAATGATACGATTTCAATCAAAATTGGTATATCCATGTTTTTTGGGCTTCTGAATTCAAATTTTACATTGGTTGTGTCAAATTCAAAATGGCGGATCCAAAATGGCCGTTTAGATTTTAAAAAACTTTGCTGAAAATCGAAAAATGATACGATTTCAACCAAAATTGGTATACCCATGTTTTTTGGGCTTCTGAATTCAAATTTTACATTGGTTGTGTCAAATTCAAAATGGCGAATCTAAACTGGCCGTTTAGATTTTAAAAAACTTTGCTAAAAATTAAAAAATTGTACGATTTTAACCAAACTTAGTATACTTACGTTTACTAGGTTTCTGAAATCAAATTTTACATTTGTTTTATCAAATTCAATATGGCGGATCCAAAATATTTGCTGGTATTATAAAATTGCGTAAATGTGTTAGAGCTTATTTTTTTTAAATTACAGACAGTGCTTAAATTTTAGTTTAAAGCGAATGCGAATGAAGAAAAAGTCAGTCTTTCACGTTCAGTTGCACCGCCGGCCGGTGCAACGCGCTGTCGGTAAACCGCGCTTAGTGAAATAAAAAGTGATACCAAAACTGCAGGGGCAGCTTGGGGCAACTGATTTCAATTAAAATGAATTAAAAATATATTCTAGTTTATGATAATACCAGGTAGAGCGCGGATATCGGTGGATTTCACAACTATTTTCATGATTTACGTTGATAAAACAATACAAAAATCGTCGCCATGAATAGCGATGTTTAATGTCATTTTTTAAAAACTGTACGTTTTAAATGTGATTATAAATACATTCAACATATTTCATACACCTTTGTTAATAATTCCCAAAAAAAGATATTCAAAAATCTGCTGTATATTAGTATATTTTCACTATTTTAACTGTGACGAAAATTTATAGTTATGAAACGTTCTGAGTAAATCTCTGGCAAAGATCACTTTTACTTGTTCACATAATAAATTGGTGATAAAAAAAGTGAAATTTTTTTTCGCAAAATTATGCAGTGAACCCTCCTTTATAATATTCAACAATAAAAAGTATAAATTTCTAAAAAAATTTTTTTGACTTTTGGCCAGGTTTTTCGGGAAATCGGCCACTGTGCAGTGTGGTTTTTCTTTTTTTTTGGGCGAAAAAGAGAATCAAATATGCGACTCGCACCTCAACAACTGTTGGTCCTTAATAAAGCGGACATAAAAGATGGTAGGAATAAGATTTTACGATAGGGGATTTATGGAGTAATTTTGCGTAGACCCCAAAACTTTTTTTCGTGAGACATCGTGGGCACTGTCGATAGGAAACATGAAGTTTTCCCAAAGAGGGGAGAAAAGAAGTTTAAAATTCGCATTTCATGGAATCCATCGATCATTCTTTTTTTTTTATACTTTACTCTCACTTCAACATTATTAATTTAATTTTTTTTTTTTCACTGACTAATCAAAATATTTCCATAATTCATCATTTTTTCATTGTACTCTTTTTTTTTTATTTACAATAATAAATTTTGAATTTAAGAAAAAATGAATACGATATCATTTCGTATGAAATTTTATGAAAAAAAAAACTCGAGATGAAGACAAAAGTGTATAAGGGGGTTATAAAATAAATTAAATTTTGAGTTGAGAAGTTCGTGTTGATATATTTCAAGTTTAAAAAGTCTCTATATATCTCTTGGTGTTCTTTGATCCTCCCGACGAATACGTTGGCGTGACATACTACACGAAAAGAGTTTGTAATTCTAGCAGACACCTTGAAAGTGCTGCGCATACCCACCTGACACGAAAAGTTCTCGAGTACTTCGACTCTTTTCGCTGGAGAAAAGTCGCAGTATATAAGAAAGAAGTAGTATATATTTACGGGAATATATACACTTTATATATATATATATATAGAAAAATATTCGACCTAAATTCCTTTCGATGGGGGAGGCGAATATCGAGAAAGATTCACGATATCGAGAATTTATTCTGTACTTAAACTTGAAAGCTTGTTTAAACTTTTTTTTTTTTGCTATAACATTACTATTGAAACTGTCACTTTCGAAAACGAATGCGCATCAGAGTTGTACTTTGCTATATATATATGTCACTTTTAAGTGTGCCATGTTGTATTTATCAGATCAATCGGAAATTGATATTGGATTAAATAAATTGAGTTTCAGCACTTAATTAACTTTTGGCATCAATAAGTGGATCGTACTGGTATTAAAGCTGCTCGAGTCATATATATATAATTGATGGAAAGGATAGCATTTCAAGATATCTAAAAAGAGGGGCAGAAGAAAACTCCTTGCTATCAGAATTTTCATTTGATTTAATCGAATTGCTTTTTTGGTAACAGCATTGATTCGAGAAAATCGTGTACTTTTTTTGTATATTTGATTTATTTTCTTAATTCGATACGAAGATTAAAAATTAACTAGAAAATTTATCGATTCGAAATTTTTTAAAATTTAAATCTAATTTTGTCAATTAAATATCGAATTAGAATTATATCTTTAATAACGTATGAAATTAAATAGAAAGCAATTTGTCGATTTGAAATTCCCTTGGATTTAAATTTCACTATGTGTCAGGATTGCATTCATTGAACGTCGAAAAGTTACTGGATGAACAAAGATTCTTCAAGAATTCAATCACTGGAGACTTCGACACTGTTTAATGAGCATTGGATAGGAAAGGGGGTTTCATGGAGTGATATCGAGAATAAAGTCAAAAACGACTAAAGGAAATAAAACCAAAAAGATAGAGAAAGAGAAAGGATATGTGAAGAGAAACCCCTCGTAAAATACGAGAAGAGAAAAAGTAGAAAAAAGAATAAGGGATCAAAAGTGAAAGAAGGGGAAGGAAGGAAACTCTTTCTCTATCTCTCTCTCTTTCACTGGAGGGTGAAACGAAGACAAATGACATAATATCGTGCCGGACACTGAGATCATTGCCGAGAAAACGAAATCAAGTAGCGCGCAAAACTGCCACCAGGCCATCGATCTCTCATTTCGATTGTCCCTCTCTCTCTCTCGCTCTTTTTTTTCTCGCTTCGTTTCGCGCGGCGCAAAAGCAAGACAATGAAATCAGTTGATGTTGATCTATACAGGGCACCTTGAAAAGAGATTGCTTTTCATTCCATTCACTCCCGCGCACGATAATCTAATTCTTCTTCTAACTCTCCTCTCTCTCTCTCTCTCTCGGCACACCCCGTCTTTGGCACGAAATAAATTTTTATTGCAGTTAATCCTGGCCCTAAAGAATTGACCCCGCATGGCTTGTTTTAAGAGCGCGGGCGCGCGCGAGAGAGAGCAAGCGTCTTGATAAAGCATTATTCCCGAAGAGACTCTCCCGTTATATCGACACGCTTGGAATAACCACGAGGGGATTATCTTCTTATTAGCTTTTCAGATTTCGACACGCCGCCCCGGCTTATCTTTTGACGGGATACGAAATTTTCGAGTTTGACCCCCACACGTTAGTAATGTAAACCTCGTTATATATAATATGGGAATACCCCAACACCGGTAATTTAACCTTTTATGAATGATGAGAAAATTCGCAGAATTTTATTGAAAAAAGATGAAATTATGGATATATAAATATTTCCCATAAGTGTTATTTAAAGCAAAAAGAAAGAAAAAAAAATGTTTACGACGTTTAATGAAATAGTTTCAAGGGAATTTTTTTCATTTAGGGTTTCTTGGCCAATATTAATATTGTAATGATAGTTAGAAATCGTCCGGTAAATATTTGTACTAAATATTATCGCGCGTCGATAAACAGGTTACCGACTGCGGAGCACAAAGACGTAGTACCCGATTTCGCCGCGCGAGCCGCATCGCCAAAGCTCACTCGCGTGCGCCCAGCCCACCGATCGGCTATATAAGCTGCGTTCTCGCTGAGGACCGTCACTCTCGTGCTACACGAAGTCCGGGTGGGTCTTACCCACCTGACTAGGAGTTTTACTCTCGTTCATCGTTTTTTAATGTATATAGTATAAAGTAATGTATAGTGAAGAATTGTAATGTAACGTATCAAGCTGTAAAGTAATGTAAAAAAATGTATAGTAACGAAACGTATTGTAACGTAAATTTGAATTCTCGAAGTTTAAAGTAGATTTTCCGTTTTATTACCGTTTTTTAGATATATTTAGAGTTTTACTCTTTGTATAATTGGGACACGAGTTTTACTCGTGGTTCACCAGTGTATCGCGAATTTTTAGGCAGTATAGTAACAGATTTATGGCTCATCGCTACGAGTTAAAGCCGATTTCGTTAATGCACGGCTCAAATAAGCGACGTTCCAGATTGATGCCGATTTTCGATTTCGCGGCTCAACATATTTTAGATAGACGCCGACAAATCGTTACTCGAAACCGACTTTCGCGATTTACTTGTAATCTCCGTATAACTTTGATATTGTAAATACCGTTGTAAATAAATAATTTGTTATCAGTTTGTAATTAACCCGTTATTATTGTTATTATTTTGTTGGAATCAAAACGAACCCTGGCTCGGCGAGCTAAAATATTGATTCTTACAATTGCA